ACCTGGGCTCCCATAGTCACCGTTATCCTCCGCTTTTGAAGCACAGCTGCTTTGCACGGCACAGCAGAGTGCTGCGGGGCAGCTGCTGAAGCGACCGGGAGAGTGCAGGTTTGCAGGCGGTTGGTTGAAACACCTCTGCACCTGTGCAAACTGGTCAAAAGGGCCCAGCAGAGATTATACTACCTGAGACTTCTCAGAAAACAACAACTGAATGAAAAACTGCTGGTGACCTTCTACTGCTGCACCAGAGAGAGTATCTTAACTTACTGCACCTCTGTATGGTTTGCCAACTGCACAGGGGCAGATAGGAAAGCGCTCCAGAGGGTTAATGTCATTGCCCAGAGGATCATGGGTTGCCCTCTCCCCTCTTTGGAAGAGCTTTATAGCTCCCGCTGCCTTAAGAAAGTTCAAAACATCCTCAAAGATCCATCTCATCCTGGGAACCTTTTTCTTGAACTATTACCATCTGGCAGACAGTACAGAATAATAAAAACAAGGACAAATAGGCTGAAAAACAGCTTCTATCCCTGGGCAGTAGCTCTTTTGGATTCTGTTGCATAGTGCAGTGTTGGTGTAGTGTCGGGGATTTTCGGTTCAATTTGTGAAAGGTGAAGGATGTGTGTTTGTGTTTATTTTCATAGTCATGATGTGCACTGAAGATGGTGTTTGATTTCGTCATACGAGGTGCAATGACAACAAAAGTAAACTAAACGCCTCTGCGCCTGCGCAAAGTGTGCATTTGGTACACGTACGCAAAGTGTGCACATGTGCAAAGCGCGCCCACCAAGCCACGCCCATCGAACTGGTGGTAAAACTTTTTGAATCTCACCACTGATGCATACCCATAGTACTAAGCCTTATTTTTACTATATATATGTTGTCAGCAGCAAGAGTATTGTGTGCACAGAAAATGGAAGGACACTTTGATTCCTATCATGGACGAAAGGTTGCGGAAGTTGATGCCGTTGGCTGAAATGGCAAAATTGACTATTTTGATTAAAGAAAAGAACTTAAGCACTTTCGTTTCCACATGGTAGACCGCTTCTGAACTTTGTACTTGGAAAAGAATGAAACTCTGACTTTGGGTTTTACCGATTAGATTGACAGATCTTCATAGAAATGGCTTGTTTATATTATTATGAAAAAAAACAAGAAGTTGTGATTTGATATTAATGCCCTATTTTACTGCAAAAGAGAGAGTCAGAGGTCAATGTCTCTTTTTCTTTTTTTCCTATCCTTCCTCACTTCTCTTCCTGCTCTTCCTCCCCACCATTCTATTTACTCTTGTATTTTGCACCTTATTTATCTTATAATTAAAATGTTAACCTGGAAAAACTAGCCCTTCTTTGATAACTTCTAATAATAATGCCCATCACTGCCACACAGGTTTCAGAGCTGTAACAGAGAGTGACTGGGTTTTGTGAAAGAGGAGCGCCCTACAGTGGCCAAATATTTTTTCCCCATACCAAAATAAAACTGCAGGTTATTTTTGGGCACAGCAATTTTTCTAACCTTGGTTAAAAGGGGCCTTCGGATACTCTACTCCAGGTGGGGGAGCTGTCTGAATAGCAACAGGGATATTACAGGGTTCCCTCCTCAAGCTACATTCTGGTGAGATGAACAGCATTACCAACTATCAACTTTTCCTAAATTGCAAACGTTACAATGTACGTGGTTCCCTTTGTCTGCTGCTTACACATGCATGTGCACACACGCGTAAGCAAACATCTATTTATATAAAAGCAAAATACCACTCACGCATCATCACAAAATCTCCAGAACCGTAAAGCCTACAAACTTGAAATTCGCCATATATATTCCTCTTGGCTTCTAGATGCTCACTAAAAAAGGATTTTTCGAAATGACCATCAGAGCATTAGTATTTCCCATATTATTAACAAGCTCTGATGCTAAGGACTTCTACTCCCCCTCCCCACCTGAAAAGAAATCTCTTTCAACTGCAAAACACAAGCAGAGAAGTTTCAGTTTTAGTTTCACAGCAGCAACCAGCTTTAATACAGAACAGTTGAGCTAAGCCACGCCCAGGGTCCTTGCTGTCTCCTTCTTGCTCATACAGCAAATATTGCTTCAGTTTCCAAACAGCCCTCAACTCTCTCACACACTGACAGGACACTAGCCAGATGAATATCAATGGATGCTGGTAGGCAGAGGCACAACCCCCCCCCCACTTATTTTCCTTCCCAAAAACTAAGCCTGATCACATAGTTTCGTAGCAAAGCACAGGTATCGAGCTAGTACGTGTATATATGACAGAGTTTAATGATTGGCAGGCTGTGAACACCTAGTTTATTCCAGGTTTGTCTTTGCTACCGACTTCTACTGAACAAGAGCTAAAACAGCATTGAGATGTAAAATGCCATGCACTTTATGGATTCAAATTAACACATTCCCCCACACTGGGAAATTAATGGAATTTGCAAATCCCCTATTAACAAAATTTTGCAAAATACTGCATTTGTCCTCTTCACTTTAAAGGCATAATTTTCAAACTGCATCCTGTTGGTGGTTATTGGAATAGAGACAAACGAAATCCTTCCTGGAGTTCAAAAGAAATTTGAGAGATTTATCTGGGAAGACAGCTGGACAATATCTGGCAAGCACTGCAGTGATGGGAGATTTCTGTTGGCTTCGAAGCAGGACTTATATTTCAAGAGTTTGCATCCATGACATTTCACCCCTGTAGGAATTTTACAAAATTCTCCTAATTATTCAGCCAATTTGGAGGGAGAGCACAAACAGAAAGGATCATGTCTGTGGAACATGTGAAAATGGGTAATATTTTTGCAAGAAGGGTTTTGATGAATTGCACAGTCATCAAAATAAGGATTATAACCTATGCTCAATAGATAAAATATTGGGATAAATGTCAAGCAGCTTACATTTTCCCCCCTTTTGAAAACTAAATTGCTAGTTGCTCAATGTTAGAAGTGTTTGGATCATTTATCAGTTGAAAAACGGCACAGGGAAACTTAGCCAGTAGCTGTATTAGAAAACATATCAGGTAAAAGTTTATAGGTTGAAAAAACAGGAAGATCAATTGTTATCTTGTCTCATACGTGATAACTTTTCTCTACCAATTTACAGGATTTGTAGGAATTATAATATGATCCGCAATGGGAGTAGAAAAGTATTGATGCTCTGTTCATGATTATTTGTTGTGGTTTTAACATGTTTCTGATGTGTTTAATTATGTCTTGGTCTTCCCCCCACCCTTTTAAGTAGCAAAACAAGTCTCCCCCATTCCAGATGGGATGGTCACCAATGACCCCAAGATGCAGCAATGACTGTAAATACAAGTCAGTTGCTAAGCACCCAAATTTTGGCCCATGTGACTACAGGGACTCACAAGGACCAGTTGTTAGTCACTTTTTTGCAGGACTGTTGATAACTTTGAACCGTCATTAAACAAATGGTTGTAAATTGAGAACTACCTGAACAGGCTTTGAAAGCATCTAACACAGGGGTCTCCAACCTTGGTACCTTTTAAGACTTGTGGACTTCAACTCCCAGAATTCCTCAGCGGCTGAGGAATTCTGGGAATTGAAGTCCACAAGTCTTAAAGTTGCCAAGATTGGAGATCCCAAACCTAATGACATTTTTTTTCCAACTCAGGGGATCGAAAAGGCCAAGGTTTTTTGACTGTGGAAATTGGTACAGGTAGTCCTCAAGATATGACTAATCAAGTTATGACAGACCTGCCCAAAAGCTAGGTATGACTGGGAGGCTGTTAAGGGCTGTAGGTCTCAACCTACTTCCCATCCAGCCATCTAGGGCAGTGATGGTGAACCTTTTTGTTGTGGTGTGGCGAAAGTGCATGCACACCGGCACCCACAATGCAATGTGCCTTGCCCCCCTGCGCATGTGTGCACATCCCCCCACCCCCTTACCTGCACTGTGCACTCAGCTGATTTTTGGCCCATTTGAGGCTCGAGGGAAGCCTCCGCAGCCTTTGGAGGCCGAAAAACGGACCTTCCGGAAATACCGGAAGTGCCAAAATGGGCCCCTTTTTCGGCCTCCAAAGACTGCAGAGGCTTCCCTCGAGCCCCTGGGAGGGTGAAAACAACCTCCCCCGAGCTCCAGAGGCCCTCCGGAGGCTGAAACCAAGCACTTCCGGTATTTCCGGAAGGCCCATTTTTTTGGCCTTCTGTGGCTGCAGACGCTTCCCTCTAGCCTCCGGGAGGGCGAAAAGGGCCTCAAATGGGCCAAAAATCAGCTGGGAAGCACTTGCATGCACAGTGCAGGTAAGTTTGGCTAGGGCTCACGTGCCCACACAAATGTCTCTGCGTGCCATAGGTTTGCCATCACAGATCTAGGGGATTTGCAAGACTCGGCCTGTTCCTCAGCCCATGGCAACCTCATGCTATTCTAAAAGCAGGTATATTCTCTCAATTTTTTTTTAAAGAGGCTCCACAAACAAAAGGAGGCCCTGATAGGCTCATAAGGGTGGAGGTTGCCTCACTTAACAGCTGTCACAACATGCAATGGTAATGCGCAGGCTCCATTATGGCCGTTTCTTGAAGACTATCTGTATTGATCTGTCTCTGCAGTATGTTTAATGAGGGGTTCTTGGTGCTCTCCGAACTTGGTTGCTTTCTCGCAGACGTTTCATTACCCAACTAGGTAACATCATCAGTGCTAAGACCCCTCATTACAACCCTGAGCTACAAATAGTCTCTTTTATTGGTATATTTACTCTACCTCAATTTAAGCAATGATGAAGGATGCTTCTGCTACAATAGGTGGGCAGAAGGTGAGATCTTGGTTAGCGTCTATCATGAATCTCCAAAACCACACGCTCTCTGCACCTTTTTCAGAGTGCAACTTGCAGCCACGGACAACGTAACATGCCACATTAAGCTGCCAATTCAGGTTCTTAATTTTTTTTTCCCCTTAAAAGAATCTTAAGATATAATCAATCGGTCTGTGGATGGAAAAAAAAACACACAACTAAAACAGAAAGGGACACGAAAGCTTCCATAATCAATAAAAACTGTACACAAAGCTTTTCATTTTTAATAAAATGTTGTGCAATTACATCTTTTTTTTTTTTACAAACGGAGAAGGATTTGCACTGAAGCATTGGTGTCAGAGCAGGCAGGCTCTCCACATGTGCTGAGCCTGTAATATCAGTGATTCCCAGACATTTCTAGGCCCCAAATTTTGGGGACTGTTGATCTAACAGCACTAAGGAGCTTCAAGGTTTGTGGACAATTCAATTGTCTCCCGAGATTGTTGCAAACTTCCCCTTCAGGACCAGAACTTGTGGGGAAATTCTGGATGAAGCTACAAGAACTGCCCTTTATAATTTTTTTTTTAACGAGGAAAATGACATTTCTGCAACCTTCTAATCATCTGGTTCTTGCTTTTCTTCTTTGCTGATCGTTTCAGCTTCTTCCAACTTCTGTCCCAGAGCTTCTTGGGGAAGAAACTGTTCAACTTTCACATCTAAGGCTTCACTGGTTGAACTTCGAATGCTCATACTTGTTACAAAAGGACCTTAAATAAAAAGAGAGAGAGAGAAAAAGAAAGAGAGCGGAAGAAGAGGGAGCAAGGATTCAGCTTATTTGATGATCTAACGTGGACAATATTGTACAGAATCATTAAAAGTACTGCTTGAAATGGCAACTCTAAGCAAGAGTAAACAGCTACGAGTTTCTCATATGTCGGGGAAAGAGATTTAAGCAAGTACAGGTAGTCCTCAAGTTATGACGGGTTGCTTAGCAACCAATGGATCTCTCCAGGCTACTTACAACCCAGGTTTGAAGTTCTGACAGACAGCCTCTCCCACCAGTCAAATAATTGCATTTTTGATGCTAGGCCTTCATTTCGATTGTCCTGCAACCACGTGACCATGATTTATAACTTAAAAAAAAAACCCACAGAAACTGGGGTTAACTTCCAGGTTTTGGCAAGAAATACCCATCGGCTAAAATGTATTTGCTTAACAACCGTTGTCAGGGTTCTGGCGATTGCCCTAATTAAATCATGAGTCTCGAGCCAAGCTTCAAAAGAATCCCTAAGATTTATCAGGAGTAACATGTCGGCATTATCCCAGTTGAAGCCAACTCTGACACATGTAATTCATGGACACCTGTGACCCTGTTTCCCCACTCTCCCCTGGGTGCGTCATACATCAGATTCTCCAACGAAGCACGTTCAGGGCCTGTGTGTCATCAATCACACCAGAGGTGGTATTCAGCAGGTTCTGAACAGTTCTGGAGAACCAGTAGCGGAAATTTTGAGTGGTATGGAGAACCGGCAAATGCCACCGGCCCCGCCAACCCTATCTATTCTCTGCCTCCCGAGTCCCAGCTGATCGGCCGGGTCTTCTTTTGCTGCCCTACACAGGAGAATGGAGCTGGAAAGCAGGTTAGTGGGGTGGGGAGGGAATGGAGATTTTGCAGTATCCTTCCCCTGCTATGCCCACCAAGCCACGCCCACCAAGACACACCCACAGAACCGGTAGTAAACAAAAATTGAATCCCACCACTGAATCACACTCTCCCATGAAGGATTTTCCTGGGCAGAAGATCTAGCAGCCTAGCTACAACCTTTGTAAGATAAGCGTGGAATGTTCTTCTGATTTTCTCTCCCCGCCCCCCAAACTTATGGCAACTGGGAAACAGGCCTGTTTTACGAGTTGACAACCGTTTTGTTCGTTTAACAACCTGCAGTGATTCATTTAACTGCCACAAAAAAGGTTGTTAAAATCAGGCACGGACCTGTGGTGACTTAATGATTGGCCACACTTTTGACTGCCATCCTGGACTCGATTATGGTCCTAAGTCGAGGACGACCTGTATTCAGTGGTTCTATTTAAAACCAGTATGATTTATAAGACTGTGTTTAATCGTGGACCAAATTTGGCACATTATGTAAAATATATTACTGCTTTCAATGACAGGAAAACATGCTAAGTTTCTCAAGTCCTTGGCAACCTTGTTCAGATCCAGAAAGGCCCTGGGAGTCCAAAACTAACAAGGGAAGGAGGCAGGGCATATACTATTGATTTATTAACCAAAATTTCAAATTAATTTAAACATCGCTGTATTAGCTGGATCGACCATGAGTTTTCATACATTGTCTGATACACTTAGAGGCAGAGGTGGGGCTGCTGGGGGTTTGCAGGGGTTCGGAAGAGCCCCTAGCTAAGATTCTGTGCAGTTCGGACAACCATCAAATCCCACTCCTGGCTGGGCCCCGCCCACCCCTCCCCTGCCCTCCCCGGAGTCCCCACGTGGCCCGTTTTGAATGCAGGTAAGCGCACGGAGGCTCAGGGAGGGCGAAAAACGGGCCTCCCGGAAGTTCAGGAAGGCCGGAAATGGGCCCGTTTCTGGCTTCCAGAAAGCCTCCGGAGCCCGGGGAGCCCATTTTTGCCCACCTGGAAGCTCAAGGAAAAACCTCCGGAGCCCGGAGGGGAAGGCAAAAACACCCCCCCACCACCACCAAGGTGCAGGAGGCCGACTAGGCCACACCCACCATGGCCACGCCCACCCAGCAACTGGGCAGAGAACTCTCTGCTAAAATTTCTGACGCCCACCCCTGCTTATAGATAGCCCTCGAGTTATGACAATTGAGCCCCAAATGGATGTCGCCAGGTGAAAAATGAAGTGAGTTTCGTCCCCTTTTGCGGCTTTTCTTGCCACGGTGGGTAAATGAATTGTTGCATTTGTTAAGTTAGGAGCACGGGTGGTTAAAGTGACTCCGGATTCCCCACGGACTCTGCTTGCTTGTCATAGGGATGCTGCCAGTCGTAAGTGTGAAAAAGAGTCACCTTTTTCAGAGCCGTGGTCAATTTGAGCAGTCACTAAAGGAACTGTTGTAAGTTGAGGACTACCTGTATTGACCTCAAAAACAAAAAGGAGGAGGAATAATTTCCAGTGCTTGAACCCCTTTTCAAAACAGCAGCAGAAAAAAAACAAAACCCACTACTACAGATTTACAACTGTTTAGTGACCGTTCGAAGTTACAATGGCACTTACAGTGACTTACAGCTGTTCTACACCCAACTATTGCAGTATCCTCACGTTCACATGATCAAAATTCAGACACTTGGCAACTGACTCCTATTTATGATGGTTGCAGCGTCCCGGGGGGGGGTTCATATAATCCCCTTTTGAGACCTTCAGACAAGCAGATCTCAATGGGGAAGCCTGATTCACTTAACAACCATATTACCAATTGAGCAACTGCGGTGATTCACTTAACAAACGGTGACAAGAAAGGTCACAAAATGGTCAGAATTCCTTTAACAAACTGTCTTGGTTAGCAACAGAAATCTGGGGCTGAACTGTGATCGTTAAGTCAAGGACAACCTGTAATTTGTTTCCTCCAAACTCTGCAGGAAAAAAAAACCTCGACAAAGCCATTCTAATCCCCGTGTATCGTTGCAGGGAGTAAACAGCTTAACTGATACCCTCAAAAGAGCTGGAACAAACGAAGTCAAGTCCTTGAAAACGGTCACATATTGTTCTGACGCCAAAACAAAACGATGCGTTGTGCCCTGACCTTAAAACAAAATTCTCAGAACCCCAAACATTTTACTTGGAACATCTGATACGGTTCTTCAAGGCTGTTCAAAACATTTCCAAGATAGGAACTTCCTGCGCAAATGTTTCCCATTCTGGAAGGGAGAAATTATTTTTCTAACTGAGTAATTCTGCGGGAAACAAAAACGGGACTTTTCAGGGTAATAATTTTGCCACTTTAAACCAGAAGGTTATTCTTAAAAAGTCCTCCCAAAACAACTTCTTTAAAGAATGAAAAGGTTTTTGAGACATTTCCCTTGGAAGGGAGGGAGGAAGATTGCTGTGAAGCGAAATTATTAGCAATAGTGTTATTAAGCAATTTCTGCTTGACATTTTCCCTGTTACTGTTCTTTATTGCTTAGTGTGACAATGCATGTTATTTTTTAAAATCGTTTTCTCCTTGAAGCTAGCAAAATGCTTTCCCCCAACTTATATTCATTTGGGTAATATCATTTGCTATCAGCATCAATTAAGAAATTTTTTTTAAAATAGAGTGGCTCACCATGTTTTGAAGGTTTGTGTTTGCAAATGTCTTTAATAATACCGTCCAGATTAGCAAGTATCTGATCATTAGGCATGTCCAGCTGAAAAAGTGAATGCAAAAATAAAGGAAAAGAAAACATTAAATGATGTCAGGTTTATAAAAATTGTGGGGACTGGGCTAAATACTTAATCAATGCATTGAACTTTTATTTAATAAAAAGAGAAACATTTTCTCATCAATTAAAGGCTATAAGTGCTGTTAATGTCTTTAGCCCAGTAATACCCTGTTGTGAAAAAAAACAAAGGCGTTTTCTAATTTTTATTCAAATTCAATCACTGTAAGTTATATATAGCGCAATATTTCTCAACTCTGGCAAATTTAAGGTGCGAAGGCTTCAATTCCCAGAATTCTCCAGCCAAAGGGAAGTTGGACAACTGTCTTGGTTAGCTATCGAAATTTTGGGCTCAATTGGTTGTAAGTTGAGGACTACCAGTATAGATTTACTTAATGGCCAGTTTATAAACCATTTCACTCACATAGAGCGAGAAATGGCAACCTGTTCAGATTTCAGCAGCAAATAATAACAACAGCAAAATATATATATTGAGATTTGCAAAGTTGAAGTTGAGCGACTATGGAGGAAGAAATCAATGGTTGTACCAATAGTAACAGGAGCCCTTGGGGCAATACCCAAAGGGCTGCCAAGATACATGGAAATTTTGAACTTATTAGATCTGAATATCCGGACTGCAAAAAAATCACCCTGCTCAGAGCTGCTCAGGGGTGGGCTGATACCGGTTCACACCGGTTCAGGCAAACCGGATGTTAATTTTAAATCTGGTTCGCCAAATCGGTAGTTGCAATGACTCGCTGGCCCTGCCCACTCTTTCCCTCCCCTCCCAGGAGTCTCCACGTGGCCTGTTTTGGATCCCAGGTAAGTGTAGGGCCCACGCAGAAGCTCGGGGGGGGGGGGGGGGGAGAAAAACAGGCCAAGAACAGGAAGTTGTGACAGGCCAGAAATGGGCCCGTTTCTGGTCTCCGGAGCCCAGGGAGGCTATTTTTGCCTTCCTGGAGGCTTGAGGAAAGCCTCTGGAACCAAGGGAGGGCAAAAAATGGGCCTCCCGGAAGTTCTGGAAGGCCGGAAAGAGTCCAGTTTCTGGCCTCCAGAGGGCCTCCGGAGCATGGGGAGGATGTTTTTCACCCTCTTGGAGGCTCAAGGAAAGCCTCTGGGGTCCGGGGAGGGCGAAAACACCCTCCCCCGCCATGGTGCAGGAGGCTGAATAGACCATGCCCACCATGGCCATGCCCACCCAGCAACTGGGTCTAGAAGGAGTTGCCAAAAATTTTGAAGCCCACCCCTGGAACTGCTTATATTCAGATGTTACCTTAACAGCTCTTAGGTCTTTGGTTAGGACTTGAGCTGTTAAGTTTTTACCAGTCCCAGACTGCGAATCAAATTGAAGATTAAATCTTTAATAATAACAACAACTACTACTCCAGCTAAAATGGATGAAATCTCGCTAATTTTGTCTTTCTTGCCTGGAATTTGAGTCAAACTCTATGAGAGAACAGTACTATAACTTTGTGGCAGAATTTTTAGCTATTTCTGAATGTTTTAACTTAAAGTTGGACTTCCAGAGGTGCCATCGGATTCAAGCCTGTGATTTAGAGTATTTTAAAACTATCTTTCAGGATACAACATTTGCAGCATGGTGAAGATTATTTAAACACGGGAAAACCAACCGATGAGAAAATATTACGTGCAGCTCTTTAGCAATAAGAATTACGGTATGTGCATCTACGTTTGGTGAAAATTTCAGAAGGAAAACTCTATTAGCAAGCATGTCATGACTTGCTAAATATTCCCTAATAGGTTGCACTAACAACTATGTTTTGCTGAAGGACCCATTTCAAAAAAAGCAATAGTGGAAATGGAAAGAAACAAAGCAGTGCGTTGGTGCTTATTTTTGTTCAAACAATTTTTAATACATGATTAAACTCCCCTCCAAGCTGAACTCACAGCCAAATCATTGGCCAAAGTGCCTCGTGAAAACGTACCATTGCAAACGGGGTTTGGATGAGGTTGTCGTCGGTCACTGCATATTCATGGCAGATTTTGAAGAAATTAAGTGTCTCGGGGATATTGTAAGTAATGGTACCTGTTTCAAAACAAAATGAAAAAAACAACAACCCCAAAGTAGAATTAAATTCATCTTACATATCTGACATTCAATGTGGGAGCAAACCAGCTATTCTGCCATTTTTCTTTCCAACTGGAAAGAATTACAGAGGACAATGGGCCAAGCACAATCTAAAAGACTGTGAAGAATTCCATGTACGCAACAAAGCTTATAACAGAGTAACAGAGTTGGAAGGGACCTAGGTGGTCTTCTAGTCCAACCCCCTACGCAAGCAGGAGTGGGTGTCCAGTCTCTTCTTAAAAGCCTCCAATGATGGAAGCACCCACAACTTCTGGAAGGTAAGCCCTTCCACAGGTTAACTGCTCTTACTGTTAGGAAATTTATCTTTTACGTCTAGGTTGCTTCTCTAGTTTCCATCCACTGCTTGTTGTCTTGCCTTCCGGTGCTTTGGAAAATAGATTGATCCCCTCTTCTTTGTGGCAGGCCCTCAGATATTGGAAGACTGCTCTCGTGTCACCCCAGCCCTTCTTTTCACTAGATTAAAGGTAAAGGTTCCCCTCGCACAAGAATGCTAGTCATTTCTGGCTCTAGGGGACAGTGATCATCTCCGTTACAAAGCCAAAGAGCCAGCGCTGTCCGAAGACGTCTCTGTGGTCATGTGGCCGGCATGACCAAATGCCAAAGGTGCATGGAACGCTGTTACCTTCCCACCAAAGGGGTCCCTATTTTTCTACTTGCATTTTTTTTACATGCTTTCGAACTGTTAGGTTGGCAGAAGCTGAGACAAGTAACAGGAGCTCACTCCATTACGTGGTGCTAGGGGACTCGAACCGCCGAACTGCCAACCTTTCCGATCGACAAGCTCAGCGTCTTAGCCACTGAGCCACTGCATCCCTTCATCTTTACTAGATTAGACATACCATATAAGTTTAATATGTTCCTAATATCAATAACAAAAAACAAGGAAATGTCAAGTCATTGTTTACTGATTGATAGTTGGTTATGTATGAACTGTTGAAGTCATTTCTGTAAGGAAGGTGTAATGAAGAAAATGTCTTTTACAGTTCAATCCTACGTAACCGTTTCATCTAATGCAGGGGTCCCCAATCCCAGGCCAGTACTTTATGGAACTTTGTTTTTATATATGATAACAGCCTCGGGACTTTTTATATGCCTAACATTGAAAAGATTTGATATTACCGACATGGAAGAATGGATGGTGAAGTTGATGAGAGTTGCTGAGAGGGTGAAACTGACAGTTTTAATGAGGGAAAATACATTAATTTTAAAACTGATTAGAAGCCCCCTCTGGATTGTTTGGGTGAAATGGGGGAAAAAATGAAACTATGATATATGGATTTGATGATTAGAAAAAGTGGTAAATAATAGAAAATATAAAAGTTATGTTCCAAACTTAGAAAAAGATGCAAATTTACACTTATATCTGTTGTAAAATAGTCAGGAGTCATTTCTTTTTATTTCTTTGTTTTCTTTAGGATTTGCTTTCTTTCAGTCTCTAACATTTTCCCCTCCTTTCTCAGTTATTAGTTGTTAGTTTTTCTCTCTTTATTTTAAACTTTTAATAAAGTTATTTTTTTTTAACCAAAAAAGAAAAAGAAAAGAAACATCCTTTTCTCACCGTTTTTCATGGAAGGGTACTTTTGTTTCAGAAAATTCCTCAAAGGATTAATTTTTGTTGTTATTTCAGGTACTGCGATATAAAAATCTGCTTCGATTTCCTCATTTAAAATCTGAAAGCCCGTAAAAATAAAATAAAAAGGAGATTGGACATGATTTACCATTTTGGCAGTTATGATACATATGCAACACAAGCACCTATAAAATATATATATAACTTTTTTCATATCCCCTTTGCGACACATTTAGCATCAGCAGACATAAAATTAAGAGTATTTTAGTTTTCCCGTAAATACAGCACAATCTCTTTGCAACCCTTTAAATTTGAAAGAACAGAATTATCTGAGCTGAAATTAAAAATAATGAGCGTTCAGCTCATTACCAGATAGAAATTTCTCCCTCACGTTTGTGGAGTGCACGCCACGATTTACCACCGCCTGACAACAATCCTCAAAAAGCACGCTATGTTCAGGCGTGATTTTCAGAAGCTGTGTGATAATGGGGTGCGCTCTCATGTGGCCTCCAGAAGTTGTGTGAGAGGGCTGGGCTCTTGTGCAGTCTCTGGAGTCCCCCAAAATTATGTCAAGGAATTGCGTAGCAACTGTCCGATGAATTAGGAGACACTAATGCAGATAGCTAGCTAGCTAGATGCTCTCAAAAGTGCACACATACACAACATACATATAGATATGCTATATACAGAAAAAACAGTGGCTACCAACCTGCCTTCCATCAAGGACCTATATACTGCACGAGTCAAAAAGAGGGCTGTAAAAATATTTACAGACCCCTCACATCCCGGACAAACTGTTTCAACTCCTTCCCTCAAAATGATGCTATAGAGCATTGCACACTAAAACAACTAGACACAAGAACAGTTTTCCCCCCAAATGCCATCACTCTGCTAAACAAATAATTCCCTCAACACTGTCCAACTATTTACAAAGTGTACACTACTATTACTGTTAATCTTCTCACCACTCCTTATCACCCATCCCCTCCCACTTGTGACTGTATGACTGTAACTTTGTCGCTTGTATCCTTACGATTTATATTGACTGTTTCCTAGTATGATTTGATTGCTTATTGTACCCTATGACTATCATTAAGTGTCATGCCTTATGATTCTTGACGAATGTATCTTTTCTTTTATGTATACTGAGAGTATTTGCACCAACAAATTCCTTGTGTGTCCAAACACACTTGGCCAATAAAGAATTCTATTCTATTCTATTCTATTCTATTCTATTCTATTCTAAGCGTACCTATGTATATAGCTACACAGTATATATGTATGTGTGTGTGTGTAAATTTCCATCTGCAATTGAACTGAAAGATCATTATTTTTAATTTCAACTCAGATAATTCTGTTCTTTCAAATTTAAAGGGTTGCAAAGAGATTATGGTGTGTGTGTGTGTGTGTGTGTGTGTGTGTGAATACTTGAAGGGTCACTACATAAAAGGTTTAAGTCTAGAACTACCTGTACACAGGAGATTTCACACACACACCCTTCAAAGTGAGTAATTTTCCAACCTTAACCAAGAAATGTTAAGTATTCCTTCTGAGTTAAAAAAAAAAAGGAGGACGTACATTAGCAACAGAGTTCTAAAGAGAATGCAAATGTTTATTTAATAATAAAAATAAAACTCTCCACAGAATTTTCCTGCAGCAGCTTCAAACAATTCACCCGGTGGTTTGATTCAAAGTTGGGAGAGAGTGCTGCAAAGCCTGACAGTAGAACTGTCTGTTCTGGGTAGGACCTTCAAAAATCTAGAGAATTATGTTTTGGACACAGAAGTTAAATCCTTAAGTCTCTCAGCAGCTGTTGGCGTTTCTTTTTTATTTTCCCAGAAGAAAAACTTATTATTATTTATGGCTACAGGGCTTCCTTGTAAAATGTATGCAGAATATCAGGGGAATTCCTAAGAAGCCAAAGGAAAAAAAAATCCAAGTAAGATTTCTAAAAGTCAAAACAATGGATTTTCGGTGATTTATATGAGTCTTAGACTCCTATCTGTAACTAAATGAAACAAAGCTGCAAATAGAAGAAATCTTGCTGATTGCTAAAACAGCCTAGTGACCATCAGCTGCAGAATTCAACTTTCATTTCAACAGCATTGTTTTTCCAGATGCCAAGAACTGACACATCTGCAGTTTTCTGAACAGAGCCCACCCAGGCTCTTGCATATAGTAGAAGGGTTGAGACAGTCCTAGGCTCTGACCCCCAGAAAAACTTACAAAGAACTAACTGAGCTGATTTCAACAAAGATTAAAAGTTTGTACGTATTTTAAAATACCGGCTTAATTAGCTCGATTCCTCCTACTATGGCAGCTCCATTTTCTGTTGCTAGATTTGCTTCTTTTGGATCCTAAAAGGAAAATAAAAACCATTTAGCTAGAAGACACCGGGAGCACCGGTAGTCCTCGACTTACGATCACAACGGAGCCCCAAATTTCTGTTGCTAAGTGAGACAGTTTTAAGTGACTTTTGCCCCACACTGTGGTCCCTTTCACTGCCGTTGTTAAGTTAGCAACAGGGTCTTTAAGTGACTCTGGATTTCCCCATTGACTTTGCTTGTCGGAAGGTCGCAAAAAAATCCCGTGACCCCCGGGGACACTGCCATCGTCGTTAAGTAAGAGTCAGTTGCCAAGCATGTGAATTTGGATCATGTGATTCTGGGGATGCTGCAATGGTTGCAAGTCACTTTTTTCCAGTACCGCTGCAACTTTGAACATCAATAAAGGAACTGTTCTAAATCAAGGAACGCCAGTATTATTTCTTTCCATATCAGAACCCACAAACCCAATGGGAAAAATAGGTTGGGAAGGTTGCAAGTTGCTCTCCTAACTTTCCCAGCCTTTATACCTTTGCACTGTACCAACCCTTGCCTTCCTGCATTTGAACCCGGCCACACCATCCATCCCCCCTTCACACTCGTTACCTGGGAATCTCTCCACTTCATGCTTAATACCTCGCGTGTCTTGTGGGCACAAGAACAATCGGAGCTGCCAAAATTGCAGCTAAGCATTGAGGCCCCATGACATTGCGCCTTACAACTTTGTTGTTCTGACCCAGCTCCCCAAACACGACACTGAACCCTCTGAACTCAAAAGATTCCTTCATTAGGAGCGCCAGCAGCCCAGGCAAAAAGTTTCTCTCTCACTGCAGGCTAACAAGTCTGTCCAGCAGGGAGATGAATAGTTTGTCTGTCACATCTGTTCATCTCCACCCCCTGCCTTTTATCCCCAGAGCTAGGGTGGGGCTTTGCTAGCAGTGGTGGCTCTTCCGTCCCAAGGACCGGCTCATAGATTTCCACTGCTCTCCTCTCCTCTGCCTTTTGTGCAGTGTCAGGCACTGAACCCAGCCCTTCCTCCTCTTCCTCATCAGCCACCTCCAGACCTGATGGACGGCCCAGGCTCCATCTCTCTCTCTCTCTCTTTCTCGGCCAGCTCGATTGCCTCTTCCCCCTCAGAGCTCCCAGGTTTCCTTGATGCTGACCCTACCTCCCACGCCTCTTCCTCTGATTCAGCTGCTGGTGGGGCCGGCGGCTGACAGGCCACAACAAGGGGTGTCAAATTCACATCGTCACGGTGTCATGTGACGTATCGCAACTTTTCTCCCCTTCGCTAAACCAGGTGTGGGCGTGGCCAACGTGTGACAGCATCCAGGCCGCATGTTTGACACCCCTGCCTTACAACCACAGCAAACCCAGTCCCAATTGCTGTCATAACCCGAGGACTACCTGTACTCTTAATCCCATCCTTCCTAAAGATTTCATTTGCTCTAAGGATTTCTATTGCCCATGACTAAGGATACTTTAAGGCAGACTGGGCATTTTAGGGTCCAAGGGGCACATCCTGTCCGTGGGTGGTCCCAGCCCAGCCCATGACACTGGGGTTAAGGGGTGGGGGGCGGGACATCGGCACCATCGGGATGGGGCATTGGTAACAGGAGGTGAGGCAATAATACGGTGTCGGTGGAGGGAGCGGGGTTGTGTCGGCAGTGGGTCGGTCGGTGGGCAATGTTGGCAATGGGGGTGTTAGCAGTATCAGGAGCAGGGCAGCAGCAGCCCTCCATAACAGCCCCAGTTTTCCATGTAGCCCCTTGGGAAAATTAATTGTCCACCCCTGTATTAAGGGATACCCAAGATCCCTTTTCTATTTTCACTGAAGTGCTGTTCTTGCCGTTCACACATTAAAATCAAATAAATTGAGTCTCTACACATAAAATAAATTTCTGACACCTTAAGCTAGGGGTGTCAAACTTGATTTCATTGAGGGCTGCATCAGGGTTGTATTTGACCTCGGGGGGGCGGGGGGGCATGGCCGGGGTGGGCGTGGCCAGCTCGACATCACTCGTGTCAGGGGGGCTTATGGTGGCCTGAGCACTTGAGGCCTTCCCGAGCTGGCGGAGAGTTGCAGAAGGCCATCGCAGTTGAAAACGGAGCTTGGGAGAACTGTGTGCAGCCTTCCAAAACTCCATTTTCACTGGCAGACGCACCATGGGTCAGTCTTTCGCTGTTTCCAGGGCAGCCCCACGGGCCAGATCTAAACACCCCATGGCCCGGGCCTTGAGTTTGACACCCCTGCCTTAAGCAAACCTCATCCACTATTCCTCATGTCGTGTGGGAACAGTGTGACGTTGTACGCCAATGTAACATTCAAGTGACTCAAGTATCTTTGGCTCAATGCTCAACAGCTCACCTGCGTGAATACTAAAATCTTGGGGACAGCGTCTGTGAAACGGTAAGGCAACAAAAGAGTACTAATAAATGGCCCCACAGGTTTCTGGAAGTGCAAAAGAGGGGAAAAATCCACATTATCTGATTCAACAAAACAAATACATATTTGATACATGAGACATTTTATACATAGATAGCGATAGCTAGATATATAGATTATAGATGTAGATACGCACACATATACATTTTTCAAACTGTTTCAAGAATGATTCTTAAGTTTACAGAACTCCATTCAAAGGATTAATTATAAATAAATTTTAGAAGCAGTGCCTGAAGGCATTTTTCACTGACATATTTGCTCTGCTTTCACCAAAGCTGGACCCTTTGATGCCTTTTAGATGAGTGAATTCCAACTCCCAGAATTCCCAGCAATGGCTTGACTGGAGAATTCTGGGAATTGAAGTCCATGCATCTGGAATTTGGCATGGTTAAGAAGCACAATTTTAAACTGTTCTATTGCTATGAATTCACCTTGGTTTTATGATGTACACTATGGAGGGGATATATAGTTTTTATATTTAAAAAGTTTTAATAACAGCATAATGCTATCTTGCTCTCAGGGAATGTTATGGCGTAGAAAGGCAAGTAAAATAAATATATAAAGAAAAAAAAAACACATAAAAAACAGGCTTTGCTTTTCCCCCCCATTTGTAATCTAATAATCTCTCTGGTTTTAGTACAATTAACACCCATAGGAAGATGTTAAAAGTTATTTTTTTAAAGATTAAAAATGTATAAAACACGTTACAAAACCCAAATAACTAATAAACTGAAACCCTAAACACAATTTATTTCATCGCTTCATACTTTGCAATTTAACTCAGAAAGTACACAAGGGAACCATCGAAAATTCAAATTGCAAAGTTGTTAAGTGAGGACTACTTGTAATCATGGTTAAAAACACAGGACAATTCAAAAGAGTAAGAGAATACAATGGAATTTAGAAAAGTTTGTCAAGCAGTAGCACTTTTAATTCCACCCTTGATATCTTGATTATTTACTTTTAAGGCCGCAGTGGCGCATTGTTTGAGTGCGGTACTGCAGGCTGCTTCTGCTGACTACCAGCTGACTGCAATTTGGCAGTTCAAATCTCAAGGCTGACTCAGCCTTCCATCCTTCTGAGGTGGCTAAAATGTGGACCCAAATTGTTGGGGGCAATATGCTGACTCTGTAAACCGCTTTGAGAGGGCTGAAAGCACTGGGAAGCGGTATATAAGTCTAAGTGCTATTGCTATTCAACGCTGTTGAAGATTTTAACCAGTATATAAACATAGATCAACTGTTCAAAGCATCCCTCACATAACACAAACCAAACTCTAGTTTTTCTCCAGTCTAATTTTCTTCAACCATGCTTATAACTGACAAAATCTCTTCTGTTAATTCTTGTACTGAGAAGTGCTCTCATTTTTGGTTTAGTTTTAAAAAAATCTTCCTTCTTAATATCATCTCGAAAATAATTCCAGCTACTAATGTTGTTGTAATATATTAATCAGTATTCAACTGGGGGGGATCATATATGTATTGGTCTTTTTTTAATGCACTTTTTTTTCTTTTTTAATGTCTTGATTGTTTTGTGTTTTGGGAGGGGTGTTCTTCTTTTTTGTCTCTTTTTGGATTTTTTTTTTTTGAGTTTGGTATTTTAACTTTGTCTTGAATAATATATATATATATTATATATTATAATTCCAGTTACCAACTAATGCTGTAAAAAAGGGAATGTGAAGTACAAGCCAATACCTTCTTTTCCGATGTCATATCCAAGGTGATACGTGCATACAATTCCTGGGTGGGGGATGTAAAATCCAGTGGTTGGAATTTCTTTAAAAGCTCTAAAGCAGCTTCTGTGTCATAAACTGTTTTTTGATAACACCACGTCAAATAAACATCATCCTTTGGTTCAAGTGGTAAAGGCAATTTATAACGGTCCTCTTTTTCCTTAGGCTCTGAAACTGTTTTTTTTTCCTGAGAGGCTCTTCTATATTTCCTAGGACTAGGTGATGATCTTTTAAGGAAATAAAAAACAGATTGTTTTATGCAGCACTGCTGAATAAATACAATAATCTTTTTTTTTGAAATGGCATAGATAACAGGGGCATTAAACTCATAGCCCACGGGCCGGATGCATCACATACTGGCCACACTCACCCGTATTTTAGTGAAGGGGGGGGAAGTCACGATATGTCACATGACGCCACGAGTTTGACACCCCTGGCATAGACCATCTTAGAGATGAGAGTTGCTTTAACCCACACTAAAACTAAGAAGAAAACACAACATATACCAGTGATGGCTAACCTTTCTGTCCTCGCATGCCAAAAGTGTGTGCATGCAGGCCAGCACCCATAAGGCAATGCATGCAGGGGCCCCCATGCATGAGCCCCTGCGCACGCACAACTCTGCACATGTGCATGTGACACCCCCCCCAAGTGTGCCACACGTCTCTGCGCATGTGTGTGACCTCCCCATGTGTGGCATTTCTGCGCATGTGCACACGTCTCCTGCACGCACCCCATCCCCTGCACATGCGTGGCAGCCACCTGACAATCAGCTGGCGGGCGGGCAGTGCATCCACCTGAGCAGTGTACCTGCTCTGGGGCGATGGCTTACGTGCCGGCAGAAATGGCTCTGCATGCCATTTCCGGCACGCATGCCATCACAGACATATACTATACTAGAAACCTGCTTAATTTGAGAAAACTATTTGCTATACGAAAAGAAACACTGGTGACTAGTTATCATTATTTTCAATTTTGAGACATGCAGGAAAAAGAGAACCATAGACAAGAAATTAAATATAAATTAAAAGCGTTTTCACATTTGTGGATTCAGTCCAAAAACTAGAAAACATTGAACAAGTTTCTAGAGGAGCTGCTTTCCTTTCTGTGTTAATGTTCAGCTCTGCTTTATGACAAACGTCTGGAACTAGAAATTTAAATTAAATTAAACAATTTAATTATTTTCTAATAGATATAGATTATGCCAATAATAAAAGTAGAAAATATTTTAAATTATTAAATTTTAAACTTTGATTATCTACCTTGAATGGTTGTCAGAATGAACAAAATCTGATTCCCTTAATATTTTTAACTATAACTAATACGGCATGGAGCCAGCTTTTGAACACAATTAAAAACATATTTACTATGTTTTCAAAGTACAAAGCATTATATTTATAAATGCTTCCATGAGAAGCAAATGCATTTCACAATTGCCTGGATAGTGTAGAAGAAACAGTAGGTCATAATCACTGAATTTTACAAAATGTTAGATAGTATATTTTATAGTGGATAGTGTACTTTATATAGGAATAGATTGCATATCTGAACTCAGATACTACTGAGTTTGAAGTTTGGCCCCACTGAATATTTCTGTTTATGCTACCATGTACAGGTGGTAGTCCTCAACAACCACAATTGGAATTGGAACATCTGTTGCTAAGCGAGGCATTAAGTGCGTTGCACCAAATTTTATGATCTTTTAGCTGCAATCGTTAAGCAAACCTCTTGATTGTTAAAACAATTGTTAAATGAATCTGATTCCCCCCCAATGACTTTGTTTATCAGGAGTTAGTGGGAAAGTCAGAAATGGCAATCATGTGATCCCAGGACCATCTGTATGTATCTATGTATATGCATATGTGTATGTATAAATGTTTCTGTTAACTATTCAAATAAATCCCCCTTATTTACTTACTTTGCAGCATACTTTCTACTGGGAACAAGTAAGTTGGTAAAACAAGGAACCACTGCAGGATATTGAACAATTCTAGAGGAAATATGGCTAGGACTCTGAGCAAAAACTGTAGAAAGACAAAAACAGTAACAATCCAAAAATGAACTATATGGCTAGTCATGTCACGTAATTGGCATAAATTTGTATGGCTTTTCTAGACCTTTGCAACAGGAAAAGATCTATCGACAATACAGCTCTGATATTTGCAAGTAGTGTAACATGGTTTGGCAGAACTAACTAGACTTTCCAGTTCTCAAATTTAAAAATATATTTTGAATAATTGCGGGGTGGTTTTTTTAAAAAAAAAAATATTACAACTGTTTACCTTCATTTTATCTGCAGCCAAATAAGACAGCTTTCAATTTAGAATTGCTCTCAGAATTGGCTGTATTTTATATACGAGAATAATTGAAAATGTCAGTTTCTTCAGAAGTACTCGTAGATGTTTTCTTTAGAATTATTCACTCATAGCCAAACTTTATAATTTTTGATGACTGGTGCGAGGAGGTTGAAGGCCAGTCTGCTCTGGGTATATCTGGAATTCTTTTTTTAAAAAAAAACTGGATTTGGGGAAATTTGCTGTACTTTTAGATTTCACACCAATTTCATCAACTTCCTTACTTCAAAATAATTTATCAGCTTCTATGCTTTTTACTAATAATAGCCAAAAGATACCCCTAAAAAGACTCTGTGAACAGATGGCACACCTGATTTACAATTAATTAATTAAAAAAACATTAAGTAGCTTCTCATTCAGTGGAAGAAAAATATTTTATGTTAAAAATACCGATAGAGGGTAAAGTAATCGAGAAAATGTGCAGAGATGAACAGGTTAACACTGATAATCAAAGAAAAAGAAGAAACCGGTTATTATATGGTATGGGATTTATTTTATCAATGGTTGGAAAACAAAACAAATTAAAACGGACTAGAACTAGATGAATATATAGAGCAATAAGTTAAGATTTTACAAAAAATAATATATTAAATAATAGCTATAAGAAAATGTGATTATTGTTACATTGCCAAGAAAATTATTAATTATAATTAAGCACAAGATATATGTACCCAGTCGACACACAGTTAAAATGAAATCAAATTATTGTAAAATATAAAATAAAAAAAATAACATTAAAAAAAATATTTTGTTTGGGTTAAATATAAATTATTTAAACTGTATACTTGTCAATTATTACATTAGAACAGTTAATAATTACTTGTAAGCTGCTCAGTCACCTTGCAGGGAGATAACATTTAATAAATAAAAATTATACATTATATTGCATATTGTTATATTACAATATATAAATTATATAATCATATAAATTATGATGGTGGGTTCAATCATCTGTTAATTAGATCCATGGCTTTGCTAGTTGGTGAAAGCTTCCAAGTAGATAACATGTGTTTGTAGAATATTTATTATGTAAACCTAACCATATTAACCCTGTTAGATATTACCATAAATATTTTTCATGAAAAATCGTATTTCCAGCAAATTAAAAGTATGAAAAGAATATGATTTTTGCAAGTATCTTTAATATTTGGCAAGTGATTAAGAAACGCTACTGTACAGCAATAGCCCCATTCTAAACCCACCGTCCTGCTGGGTGCCGGGGGACATATCTATATAATACATTATTATTATTAATGTAAAATCCCAAACTGAGACATTTTGGAGAGAAATTAAGCTGGGAAGGGGGGAAAGGGCTTCTACAGATTTGATTCACGCCGGATCGAGACTCTCACCTCTCTGGAAACAACACCGTACTACGGGCAGCGCCATCTTGGCCAGGAAAAAAACGCGCAGAGGTGCTTTACCAAAATTGGCCCGGCCGGCCATGCGGAGTCGGCAAGAAAAGTTCCGCCTCGGGGAAGAAAAAGTGGAACAACGAAGTGGACAGCGAATTGTTGCATTAACAGGGTTGCGCAAGCCAGTCTTGCCAGTTTCAGTTCCCTCTGGTCTATAAACCATGATTTATGAACCAACAGCAATTTATTGAATGAACCATGGTTAAATTGTGATTGAGCCTGATTTGTAAACCCATCAGTAGGTATTGTTTTATAATCGATGCATTTGTTAATATGCTTTTCCACCTATAAATTATTATAAAGAACATTACTGAAAATGTTATTGTCCAGGAATTATGTTTCATATTGTTTTCAACATTATTAATGTTTACTGAAAACATTATTTTCAACATTATTATTAACAGTATCCTTATTTATCAGTGGTAATTGGCACTGGGAATTCTGTCATAAGGAACAGTGTCATATGACTGTTGATGTACAACAGTAGTTCTGGCAGCTCTAATTGCTATCATTAAGCAAATCCCGCTATTTTTAAAAGATTTTTTTTTTAAATCATGCCTTTTTACAAATAACTCAAGGTAGCAAACATACTCAACACAACTTCCACCTCCTATTTTCCCCACAACAGCCACTCTATGAAGGTGAATTAGGCTGAGGGTGGAGTTGGCCCAAAGTCACCCAGCTGCCTTTCATGGCTAATGTTGAAAGAAATATCCATCTGGTTCAGTTCCAAGCGGGGAGAAAGACACTGGAAACATGGAGGCTAATTGGAAAGATGGTTTATTGATGGACAGGGCCACACGCCTTTGAGGGTCTGGGCAGCTGACCACATGGAGTGGAGAGTGAGGGTTATTTATACCCTCTCTTGGGTGTTGCCCTTGAGCTTCCTGTTCCTGTGCAAGAACTGTATTGGGTGTAGTCAGACTCCCATGGGGCCATGTGGGGTCATGTCTGTCTGAATCAAGTTTTGTTGAAGCCTGGAGGGTGATGCAATGTCTCCAGGTGATTGTGTCATGTGGTGAGCTCTGCTGCTAGATAATCTTATTATGTCCTGGAGGGTCATGTCTTAATCCCATCACCCTGGAGCTGACGGTCTTTTGTCTTGTTGATAGGCTGGCCCAGTCCTTCTTAATGGGTACCAGTTATCTGCTGGGGGCAGGGAGCTGGGGCTGAATTTCTGTCTCCCTTAAGATTTCCATTTCTCTTTTAGGGGAAATATAATAGTCTGCCTTTTTTAAATATTTCTCAAAATATTTCATTCTTCCAGGAGGGGTGACTTCCCTCCCTAAGAATTCAGTCTCTTGGGTTTTAACTTGGTGCCTTAATTACTAGATGAAACTGAATCCTGCCGCTTGCAACATCTTGCTGGTTTCCCCATTGACTCTGCTTGTCAGAATTTTGATTTGCAAATCCTGAGAGGATTTGCGGGGACCTCTAGGAATCCTTGGACCACACTTTAAAAAATACCTTTCTAAAATAAGGGAGTCCTTCCCAGGGGTGGGTTTCAACCGGTGTTACTACCGGTTCGGTGATTATGTTTTGTGCGTGCATGCGCGCTTCGCCCACCCGCGCGCCTGATGCACTACACCTAAAGCTGTGCCACCTGGACAGCTGATAAGTGCTGCACGCAGATGCGCAGCGTTTGAAAAACACCTTTTTTCCTGCTTTTTCAACCTCAGCTGTGCTGCGCAAAGCAGCTGAGGTTGAAAAAGCAGGAAATAAAGGTCAGATAAGAACCCAGGCGGGCAGGTGGACCAAACAGCAGCAGACACAGAACCAGTTCTGTGTCTGCTGCTCTTCAGAGCTACCAGTTCTATAGAGCGGGCAGAACCGGTAGCATCTCATCCCTAGTCCTTCCCTCTCAACTATCAAAATTAACTAGGTGACTCTGGGCTGGACCAGTCACTCACTCTTGGGCCAACTTATTTCACAGGAGGGGGAAAAAACCCAAGAAGAGATATGCTTGCTGCTTTTTGCTGCTGAATGAAAAGCTGAATATAAATGTAATATAGTATAACTGACCACTTTGGGTGCCAAGCCAGTCCTACCCTGTCTTTTGGTATAGCAACATGTCTTTAATGGGTTCTTGATGTTCTCTGAGCTTCATTGTTTGCTTATATTGTTTGCTTATGTTTGTTTCATTTCGCAACTAGATAACATTGTTAAGTTCAAATGAGTGTGGAATTTGCTGTCTGTGGTTTCCTCTTTGGTAGTTGGTTGATTATAAGGTATTTTTCTGCCTGATTGCTGTCCTGCAGCATTGGTCTTTGCTTATCTGAGCATTGTCTGCTGAGGTAATGTGTTCTAGTTTTTTTGTGAAGTATCAAGGCGGCATGTTTAGGCATTTGTAGAGTTATGAATTGTAGCTCCATCATGGATGGTTAGTTGGAAGAAGAATGTGAAGTAGAAAGATGAGGGCTGATCACATCCAGAGCCAGCACTAGCTAGACAACAAGTTTTAATCTGAACTTTAGGAAGGAGAATATTGTGATGTATTTTAGATTGGATAACCATTTGTCTGAAATGGAAAAGGGTTTCCTGCTTGAGCAGGGGGTTGGACTAGAAGACCTCCAAGGTCCCTTCTAACTCTGTTATGCTGTGATATTGTGAAGGAGGAAACCACACTTCCACCAATATAGCAGGCAAATTACTACACAGGCAGTCCTTGACTTATGACCACAATTGAGCCCAATTCTGTTGCTAAGCAAGACAGTTGTTAACTGGGTTTTGCCCCATTTTATGACCTTTCTTGCCACAGTTGTTAAATGAATTACTGCAGTTAAGTTAGCAATACAGTTGTTAAATTAATTTGACTTCATTGACTTTGCTTGTTAGGTCACAAAAGGGGATCACATGACACGGGAAACTGCAACTGTCATAAATATGAACCAGTTGCCAAGCATCCAAATGTTTTTTAAAAAAATAATTTTTATTAAACAATTTTTCTTACATACACCATCATTTCCTGAGGTGGTATTCAGCAGGTTCTGATCAGTTCTGGAGAACTGGTAGTGGAAATTTTGAGTAGTTCAGAGAACCAGTGGTAACCCCCCTGGAGTGGGGTGGGAATGGAGAGTTTATAGTATCCTTCCCCTGCGATGCCCACCAAGCCACGCCACACCCACCCATTCAAAAAAATTTGAATCCCACCACTGATCATTTCCATTAATTGTGACGCTTCCGTGACAGTATACATACTTTTGCATAAATCTTAACTATCTGTTCATTCCTTAATTGATCTTTGTCCATTATAACCTTTGCCTTATTATCCTATTGTCATCTTCTCTATCCATCTCTGTATCTATTATTTAACCAATCATATAATGCATTCCATGTCAAATAATAATCCGTTTCCTCTCTGTCTTTTATCTCCATGGTCAACTTATCCATCTCAGCACACTCTAGTATCGTTTTTTATCACACTTTCTTCTAGTGGCATACTATCTTTTTGCCAATTTTGTGTGCAAGTTATTCTTGCCGCTGTTAATAGATGTAGCATTAAATATTCTGTTTTCTTATCATATTTTCCTGTTATTATACCTAATAGAAAAGTCTCCGGTCTAAGTTCAATTTGTTGTTTAATTATTTCTTCTATCCATTTTTTTGTCCTTATCCAGCATTTTCTTCAAGTATCCGAATGTTGATCATGTGACCATAAGGATGCTTCAAAGTGGGAAAAACAGTCAAAAGTAACTTTTTTCAGTAACTTTCTTTGTAACTTTAAATGCTTACTAAATGAATGGTTGTAAGTCAAGGACTACCTCTATATATAAATTCTGGGAAGCAAATCCCAGAATCCCTCGCACTGATGTTGTTACCTAGTTGGGTAATGTGACATCTGCAAGCAAATAACCAAGCTCAGAGAGCACCAAGGACACCACAACGCAGTCCTGAGCTACAGATATTATTTACTGAAACAGATCTTTATGCATGGATTAAATGTTACCATTCCACCAATTGTGCAATATACACAATTAATTCATTAATTACTTTGTGGAATATGGAAGGAGGGAAGAGCCATAACATCTGAACAACAGTAATATGAGGTTTGATAAACCACAGAGTCTGCCTAAGAAAACTACGAAACTATTATTGCAGATCATTAACTGATTCAGTTCCCAGACCCCTTAATTCTAACTAGAATGTTGGTTTGGATAGAGAGGTCACCAATGTGAGATCTGCAGAGATAGCATAAGTAGAAGAAACCTATCATTTAACCGGAGTGGCTTAATGGGATTCTTTCAGTCTGTCTTTTGTCAACAAGGAACACGTTGCCCAGATAATAAAAGACAATCTTAAAGTGGTAATTGCAGATGTAAATCTTGATCTTTTACTCCAAGAGTCATGTATTTGCTTTTTTCCTCAGATGGGCTGGGAAAAGGCATAATACAGCAGGATATTATGTTATCAGATACAACCTAATAGATTGGGATCTAGCAAATGGGCCCATGATCCCTGACGAGGCAGACAGTTGATTGTGATTCTGTTGCAGTTTGTAGCAGAAAACCCATATTTATTAAGAGTTAGGAGTCATCCAGTCTGAAAGCAGCCTTGTCAGGTATCCTGAAATGAAGAAATAAATCTAATTCCACAATATTGTCAAACTATTTACTAAGACTATATTACTATTATTCTTCTCATCCTTTCTATTACCGATCTTCTTCTACTTATGACTATAACCTTGTTGCTTGTATCTTTACGATTATATTGTTTTAGTTTCCTAGTATGATTTTGATTTCTCATTTAATATCCTATGACTATCACTAAGTGTTGTATCTTATGATTCTTGATGAATGTATTTTTATGTACGCTGAGAGCTTATGCACCAAAGACAAATTCCTTGTGTCCAATCACACTTAGCCAATAATTTTCTTTTTCTTTCTTTTCTTTTCTTTCTTTCTTTCTTTCTTTCTTTCTTTCTTTCTTTCTTTCTTTCTTTCTTTCTTTCTTTCTTTCTTCTTTCTTTCTTTCTTTCTTTCTTTCTTTCTTCTTTCTT